ACCTATGAAATGTAGTAAGTAAAATTGTATGACTTTGCCCAACAAATATAAGTGCAACAACATCGTACTCGTGGTTTAAGGCAGCGATGAAGGTTCACACCACGAGAAACAGAAGCGGCACGCACTGGGGTGGAGGTGGAGGATGCAATGCGGCGTTAGGGTCGAGGCCGTGGTGAGCGGACAATGCAATGTGGTTGGAGGCCGCAATGCAATGCAATGGGGTGGTGGCGTTAGGATGCAATGCAATGTGGGTGGAGGCTGCTAGCGTCGCGGTGGGCGACTAGCGTCGCGGTGGGGTGGAAGCCGCAGTGGGGTGGAGGTGCTGCGGCGGGGGTGTCACGCGGTGCGCGGTGGCGACGTGAGGGAGGGCGTCCGGAGAGTCCAAATCACGGTGGTAGGTGGTGGTCGCGATGCTGGAGAGTAAGGGGAGTGGGTGCGATGTTGGAGAGTAAGGGGAGATACAAAAATGGTAGCCTATTAATGGGAAAATGGAGTTTCGACGTCGGTTATACCCACACCCGACGTTGAAACTCGTTTTATCTCCAGTCATATATTTCAATCGATTGAAACGAGATTTAATCGATTAAAATAGTTCTGATCGGTCATAACTGGATTCTGATCGATCATCCTGACCCTGTAAGAGATTTTAATCGATTGAAACGTGTTTTTAATCGATTGAAAAACTTCTGATCTGATCGCTCATAATTAAAATCTGATCGATCACATTTGATTCTGATCGGTCATATTTGTAATCTGATCGGTCACAATGAGTTCAGAAGGGTTTTCAACGTCGGGTTAGGGCATAACCGACGTTGAAAACCTACTTGACGTAGAATCCTGACACTTTAAGAGATTTTAATCGATTGAAACGTGTTTTTAATCGATTGAAAAACTTCTGATCGCTCATAATTAAAATCTGATCGATCACATTTGATTCTGATCGGTCATATTTGTATTCTGATCGGTCATAATGAGTTCAGAAGGGTTTTCAACGTCGGGTTAGGGTATAACCGACGTTGAAAGCCTACTTTCCACGTCGTGCATGCTAAAACGACGTAGAATGTGTCAAAATTCGACTTTCGACGTTAGTTTTTGACCAACCGACGTTGAAAGCATGTTCAACGTCGGCTAAGATGTAACCGACGTTAAACTGCGACGTTGAAAGTATATTTTCTAGTAGTGATTGGTAGTAAAAAATTGTTAAATCAAATTATAATTATCTGGTAAAATTATTTGCTAAAATAACAACTTATAAATATAAATTACAAAATAAATATATAAATATTTTTTATATACTTTAATTTTCTTTAATTGATCAAACATATATTATTGTTTTATTTTATTTTATAGACGTACTATTTTTTTAAAATTTATATTTTAAGAATAAAACTATAATAAATTCCAATTTTAAAAGACTTATTAACTTATTATAATCAATATATGATCATAACATTATTGTTTTTAGACCTCTATATTCAAATATAATTTTTTATACTTTAATTTTATATTTTTAATAAAAAATACATTTTTTATTATAATTATAATTTTGAATTTATTTTTTATTTTTTTATAAATCAAATCAATTATTATACATTTATTTTATTTTATTTTTTAATCATTTATCTCTAAAGCGTCCCAAATAATTGCTTAGACAAAGAAAAATAAAAGATGAATAACTGAAAAAATAATAAGTATCTGAGTTGCATTATCATTACACGTTAGAAAAGAAGAAGAAGAAGAGAAGAACCGTTAAATATAACAAAAAGAATATGTGTGTGATCCTTGAAGATAATAGCCCTTTTAAGCATAGATTTTGTTTGAAGGTAAATATCATTATGACAACATGGTTTAAAGTTATGGTTGTCTGTAAAAACGATTCATACCCACCACCACCAGGACCATAGAGGATGAGAAAAAAAAAAAAAAAAACTCTAAACGACTTTATCTACTGACAACGACCCACCAAAAAAACATGTCCCTCTAAGCAAATTACAATTTCCGAATTATCCCCCTTTTTATCGTACATATGTTACGTTTACGTCAATGCATTTAGTCGCAGACTTTTCCTATGTCTCTGTCCGACTAGGTGTTTGTGATTGCTACTCGAGGTTCACTAAATTGATACATATATAGTTTTATGTCTGCATCTGTGTCGTAATCTTTATTTGCTAGAAAGACTAAGACTTTACTTAGAATGAGGACATGGCACGATACAGCAAGAACAGAAAAGAAAGAAGAAGGGCACTGCAAGAAAAGATGAGCTAGAAGACAGTGAAGGGAAACACGCACACATGCCTACCACCACACTCAACGGGAGTTGGAATTCCACCAAAAACTTTTTTTCATGTAAAGACAAATTTAATTTCCCATCAAGGGTAAAGGCGTGCATAGGAAACTTTTTTTTTTTTTTTTTTCTAAGTATAATAGTTTTGTTTCCATTTTCATGCTCTCACCTCGGTACCAACCCCTACAAATTCCCTATTGCGTCATAATAGTTCACTTTGAACTTAATCAAGTGAAATGATAACGTTTGGATTCTTGCATTCACCCTCCTTGTGATCCATCAGAAAGCTAGGGAACTCAGTGCCTTCACCTTTGGTGAACCATCATTTGTACTAATGGCCAAGTTGAAAATATGCCCAAATTTAATAATGACAATAAGATTAAATTTTAGACAATTATTTTGAATTTAAATTTAAAAATATAATTCTGTCTAATGGTTTTCTTTTCCTCCACAAATATTATTCTCTATAAATATAAACCTTTTTTCCAACGAAAATTTGATCTAGAGAAAACTAATTCCTTCCAACTATGATTTTAGTACGGCGTCTTAATACGGAGGTTGAGTTCTAATGCGTGTCACACAAATTAGTACACATTTAAAATATAATTTTTCACATAAATAAGATTTTAAATATTAATATTATGTTTAAAAATTGTTTATGTATAATAATAATATTTTAATATAAACTACATATATGAATTATTTAAAATTTAAAAATATTTTTTATAAATAACTTTCTTTAATTTAAAATCATATATATATATATATATATATATATATATAATTCATACCAAAATAATATTTTTATAAATAATTTTCAGTACAATATTTAAATTTTAGTAAGAAGATTGGCGGTATGAAAATATCTAAATATTTCCGCTAAACAGTTATTGTTTATAATATTAAATATGGTCAAAATCCGTTTGAAACAAATCGTTAATCGAAAAAATGTTTTTTTTTATACCATATTTTTAATAATATAATTATTTTAAATTTGAGTTGTATATGTTGGTCGTGACTGGTATATATATATATATATATATATATATATATATATATATATATATATATATATATATATATATATATATATATATATATATATATATACTTTTTTTTATGACATCTTTAAATAAAAAAATTTAAGACGTATAGATGTATCGGATTAAAAAAATGAATTTATTTTTCATACGTAGAAGTATATTATGACACCTTAAAAGTAAGAAAAATAAAAGTATATAATTATTGGCCCATGAACTTAAAGATTGCTTCTGGATTGTTTGTACAAGATTTTAAGAAAAATAAAATTTAAATCAATCGATTTTAATTCATTATTTATTTATTTATTTTTATCAACAAACAAATGATAAAATAGGATTTGGTTAGGTTCATATTAAATTTGTATAATAGAAAATTTGTTTTAAAAAAAAACCACGTGATTTTATCAAAAAATCCTTACATACTCTTATTGTATATAAGCAACATATTTAGACTAAATGATAACAAAAACAAATTATTAATAGGCATCCAATAAAAAAAGTAAAAATATTAATAACATTTAACATAATATTAATTTAGTTCAATTTTATCTGACTATATTCAAATGAAAATTTTGAATTTATCTGAGGTGAAATCCATACCACAGTAAAATTTTTAATTAATTTAATTATTCGATTTAATCCCTAAATTAAAATGAATCAACAGTCCTTTAATTTTTAATCTATTCTCAACATAAAAACGCAATTCTTTAAATGCATTCCAATTAAAATATTGACAAATTATTAACATAAAAACTCATACCACGAGTGCATTCCAATTAACTAGTAAAAAAAATTAATTTGAAGTTCTACTTTTAAAAAATTATGATAAATATTAAAAAATATTCCTATCAAGCCATCATTCATCTTACAATAATAGTTATATTTTTGGGAGTATCTGGTCGAAGAAAAGTATTAATAATTAAACTTATTTAAGATTTTTTTTTTCACCAACATGGTAATTTTAACTTGTATAGAATGAGTTTGAATTTGATTAAAAAAAGAAACAAAGATGAGTTGTGAAAAAGAATAAAAGAAAAAGAAAAAAAAAAACAGCATGTACGACAAGTTGCACCTTATAATGTTTTTACTTAAAAAGACTTGTTGTCTTTTTTTCTTTTTCCAGCAAATATTCCAATTGAATTTGAATACATCTAACGGCGATGACTGTGTTTCGAGTCACATTGTTGTTGATGGTGGCTATGTTTTTGGTAATTCATTAATTTGTGAGATGTTAAAAGTAAAACATTTATTTTGATATTTGAATGTGTAAAAACTTTTACCATGTTGTTACATTACACACGCAATGAAAGTAGAGTAATAAACAGTGAATTGAGGGGCAAGCGTGCAAAAAAACTCAAAAAAATGACAACAAAGAGACGTTACATGCGCTACCCGCCACTTTATTATAACAGTTGCACTAAGCGGTCCACTGGTACCGTAATAAACACAAGATAACACAATAATCAAATTCACCAATTAACACAAAAAGTGCACCAAGCTTTTCCAATCACTATAACCAAATTGCTTCACCGTTCCAAACGTCACAGAAATTAAGAACCTGGAAAATATCACTCTTTTCCACCAAGCGCACCCTTTCGAAAAAATAAAATAATTATTATTTTTATTTTTTATCTCGCTTTGGTTTGGGGTTCGCAGCTCGGTGACTCCTCCGAACCATGGGTTGCAACACCTCAAGGCTTGACCGGCTACCGGCGGTGGCGCTGTGCCGTGACCGTTGCAAATTCGTGGACGAAGCGCTTCGCCAGAGCTACGCTCTCGCCGACGCACACGTGGCACACATGGAGGCACTCAAAACTCTTGGCCCTGCTCTCCTCTGTTTCTTCGACGGTTTCGATGATTCCGACAAAACGAGTGTCCCAAGTAAGGAAACAAAGGTTTCTGTGGCGAAATCTCAACCACCGTCTCGTTCCTCCTCTTCCCTTAGTTCAGACTCAGATGATACACACGTTCACGTTCACGTTCATTTGCATTCTGAATCAGGAGCCGAAGAAGCGGAGAAAGAAGAGTTCCAATTGTTCTCGCACCCTCGTTACGATTACGCTCCGTTTTCTCCGCCTCGTTCCGGCGGCTACTCCGGCTTGAAGCCGCCGTCTCCTCCGCCACCAAGCGGTTCTCCCTGGGACTTCCTTAATTTCTTCGAGCCGTACGAGAAGTACCATGTGCCGTACATTTCCAGCGGTGGTGATGCTGACGTGGCGGAGAAGGAAAAGGGGGAGGTTGAGAAACGTGACGTATCTAAATCGAATGCAGAAAATGGAGAAGCGAAGAAGAAGAAGAATAAGATGAAGAAGAATGGTGATTCGAAGGAGAAGAAAGTGGTTTCGGAGAAAGTGGAAGTGGTTTTAGCTTCAGAGCAGCGTAGCGACTCTGCGAAAGTGAAATCGGTGAAAGGTTTTTCCGAGGCGGTCAAAGAGATTCAGATTCTGTTTGAGAGAGCGTCGGAGTCAGGGAACCCCATTTTGGAATTGTTGGACGTTGGGAAACTTCGTTATCATCGAAAGTTTGATCTCAATCCGGGTAAGCATGATGCTGCATGTGTCTTTTGTTCGTATTTTTGTTGTTTTTTCAATTTGTTGTATCTTGTGTTGGTTAAAGTTAAACTAACTAGCAAGTGCGAGGTTTTCGGGATCAGTTTCGTGCAAGATGATGCATGTGTTTACTCCTTCAAGTCCTCTTGGAGCTAAATGCATGGAATCCCCATTGCTTGGACGGAGAATGGGACCTGAGTGTGAAGGAGTTTGTACAGACAAGAGTCTCAGTTACGCAAATCTCTCTTCTACTCTGAAGAAATTATGTATGTGGGAGAAGAAGCTCTATCATGAGGTCAAGGTATAAACTCATTTTTCTTCTTTACTTTGCTTACTTGTCAAAACGGTGATTTCTAAGAGGAGTTTAACTCATTTTACTATTTTGTTTTCTTCTTCAATCGTTGTTACTTCGTCTTGTGAATTTTAGTAAAAGAAAATGTGTCATTTGTGAGTTGAAGATCCCTGATTGTCGTTCATTTTTTTTTTTCCCAGGCTGAGGAGAAATTGCGCATGCTTCATCAGAAGAAGTGTAAGCAGTTGAGACGTATGAAACAAAAGGATGCCGATGCGCAGAAAATTGATTCTGTTCAAACTTTCATTGGGATTTTAGCTACAAAGATGAAAATTTCTATCCAAATAGTTGATAAGATATCAATTACAATTAGTAAGTTGAGGGAAGAGGAGTTGTGGCCGCAGATCAACAGGTTTATTCTCACGTAAGTCGTAACTAAAGTTTCTTCTAACTAAATCTGTGCTAAATTTTGTTAATCTCTTTAGTTGGCACTTGGCAGATGCACCATATAGCCATGATCTGTGCAACAATAATATTTGCGTTCCTATGTGATTCACCTTTTTTGAGAAGTTAATAGCTAAGAACTAGTATTTTTACTTTTGATTGCCGTTGTCTTGTTTTTTAGCCTGTAGGTAATTGTGTTTATAATCTTATACTGTGTCAACAACCATTGTAAGGATGATTAGTATGAGCGAGAAAACAATGACATCCTAATAACCATTGCATTAGAAGCATACCTTGTTCTGTATCAAACTGAACTCCGATAGAGACTACGAGATAATTAGTAGTAAATAAATTAAAATATAAGCGTATCTGCACATGTACTTTTTCTGGCAAATTAATTGAGGGGAACCTCTTGGATGACTTGTTTATTTTCAAGTTTATATATTTTGGTCCTCGTAGTCATCTTAAAGATTGTTATTTTTCTCTTTTCATTCTTCTCCCTTGCTAATGACTGTTCATGTATGGAAAAGATTTCTAGGAATGTGGAGAGATATGCAAGAATGTTACAAATGCCAATATCAGCAAATTGCTGAAGCCAAAACTTTGGACGCCTCATCCTTGAACAGAAAGCATGGCAACGATCATATTGATGCAACAATGAAGCTCAAATCTGAGGTACAGAAGTGGAACTTGAGCTTCTTAGATTGGATTCACGCACAGAAGTCCCATGTGAAAGCGTTGAATGGTTGGCTAGTAAGATGTCTACTCTATGAACCCGAAGAAGTACCCGATGACTCAACTCCTTTCTCACCAAGCAGGATTGGGGCACCACCTGTGTTTGTGATATGTAACAAATGGTCAAGGGCAGTGGATAATCTCTCAGAGAAGAATGTGATTGAAGCCGTAAATGGGTTTATGCTCAGAGTGAATGAGCTCTTGGAAAAGCATATTTTAGACCTTCAACAAAAACTAACGTTGGACAAAGAATTGGAGAAAAAGGTGAAAATGTTGGACAGGGAGGAGCAAAAGATGCTCAAAGTGGTGCGGGCTAGAGAGAAAAAAATGGTTCCGGTTGGTAGAGAAGATTTTGATGAACTGTTACGAGGGGGTGCTGTGCATCATGCTGATATTGTTGATACTATTAACCTACAATCAGGTCTGAAGCAGATCTTTAGTGCCATGGAGAGGTTCACTGACATCACTGCTTGCTTATATGAAGAACTTTGCCAACAAATTAAGCAAGAGGACCATGTTTTGGGAGAATCCAACAAAAATAACTAGCTTCAGACTATCTAGATTCAATGAATTTTGTAGGATTGAAGTTATCTCAATTTTCGGAACCTAATCTTTATGTATACAGTACTCTCATAAATTTTGTTGGAGAAAAACATTTTTTTACTTAATTTGTTTGTTGTTAATAATGAAATTGCGATGGCAAAACGAATTGAATTTTACATGTCAACCCGTTTAGCTTGTCTTAAGTAAATTGCTAGGCGAGCGGAACCTGACTTTTGAGGAATTGTTTTCACAGCCCATTTCTTAGTTAGACACCCATTGCAGTTTTATATTGTTTTTCTAAAATATTCATTATTTTGAAATTTTAGATGTTGGTAAGGTACAGTGCAGAAACAAAACTCAAAGCGTGTTGGAAAGCTATGAAAGTTCAAACTCAAGTTTCTGAAATACATTCTGAAAATCTGGAAACTTTAAACACTTCGAAACCGTTTCTTTGTTTTTCCTATTGCCTCGTTGAGTAGTCACTTCGGTCATTTTGTTTTTTTTGAGAAACGTGAATGATGGCCCCCATATTTGTCCTGTTTCTGCTGTTGCTGAGTTTTCCATGGGGACCCTCTTTGATAAACTTGTTTCAAACTCACTATGGAACCGGTAATTACTCATCCCGTAAGTACAAACATGTACTCCCCTTCTTCCAACTCAGTACTTTTCTTTTACCCTCATGTGCCTAATGCAACCATCTATTCTCGCATGTGTCTTGAACAAGTAATATCAACAACTGAGTAAATAATCAAATTTGTCCTTTGAAAAGATGAAACTTTGATAATTGGTCCTAAAGAATTAAAAACTATAAAAAGTCATTTTAAAACTAAAATTATTTCATAGCTAACGTGGTTTTATGGTTTGAACCTCTTAAATAGTTTGATAAAGATAGAAAACAAAGAAAAGAAATATAAGAGAAAGAAAATGTTTACTTACCTTAAATAATAATGTTTTGCTTGACGGATTAAAAAAATTCATCTACCTCTTTTAGTGACTAATCAATAGAAACCAAAGTGAAAAAAAATAAATATCTTGATTTTCAATAATTTTCGTTAGTTATTAAAAAGTATTTAAAAATCTAATCGAATGTGAGAATTCTCGTATACATCATTCACTTAATATTATCAACTATTTCGCACATATGACTTTTAAATAATACTTGGAATCGCAATCCAAAAATTACCAAAATGCTTCAAAAGTCATCAAACTAGCAAAAGTTACACTTTTAACCGATAATAGACCCTACTTTTTTCACTTCGAATATTAATTTTAATATAAAAATAATTTTTGAAAATGTTTTATAATTCTCTCTATTTGTATTAATGATAAAAATTAGAGTGATCCAATCCATATGGTTTAACCCTGCTCTACATGTGTTACGGCCCAAAATACTTACAGGACTAATAGGTTCAAAGAAAAAAATAAATACCAGAAATGCACACAAAAATCTTATGGAGTATGATCAGTCCATGGGTCAATTTTAAAAAAATTAACTTTGAAAATAAAAGTTTCAAAAAAATTTCTTTCAAGTACACATTAAAAAAAAGTATTGTTGAATAGGGAAGTTAGTGATTTTGGCTTGTACCGGTAATTTTGCATATGTATGTTGCCTTACAGCTCCATAACCAAAGACAAGTTATAAGGCCTTCATGTTTCTGTTGCCATTATATAATCATAAATATTATTTTTGTTGATAATAATAAAAATAATAAGATATAATAAAACACTAAAAGAATTTCTTTTGTTTCCATCAAAATTAATATCCAGTAATAGATATATAATGGTTAGTCTCTTTCGATGTATTATCCACTGATAGGTCACAAACACACCTGTGGTCGGATCATTTTTCTACACTCCTCTGCACAAGATTTTGTAAATGCTTCACGCTAGTAGCTGGTGGTGGGGTTGGCCTTATCTCCCACCCAAGTAATAAAAGGCAAAAGCTAATCTTCCACAAAAATTTCCATCCCCTGCCCTCTTAACGATGTCATGGTCTCCTTCTCTAAAGAGGCCATAAGATTTAGTGCGATTTTTTTTTTATTCTTAACAAGAATAGCCCTGCAAATTGATCTTGAAGAATAAGATACTCTTAACAATACTCTGAACCATTACTACATCTTATTCTTTAAATTTTACTATTTTTTTTTTCAACAGCCGTAATTAGGATTGACTCCCTGATGAGAACCTGATATATTTTTAGGAGTTCTGATACTTAATATTGGCTGTAGATCCTCAATCCAGTTATTTAAATTACTGCGAACCATTGTCCAATAGGAATAACTTCTAAAAGCAGTGCATCAAGGACATAAACCGAAAAGCACAAAAAAAAAAAGTATCAAATCAAGTCAATGCTTATTCCTCATTTAAGATTGCATGGCTTTGGAGGGCGACACCTAGGTTCTACTACCACGGGATGGTTTGTCTTGTAAGCTCTACAAATGTAAATGATGAGGTTACCACACTTGTATAAGCTACTAATGAAAATACTGCACATTTATAATAAAAAAAATTACTTCAACTTTATTTAATTGGTATCTTACAAGTTAACTATCCTGAGATAATCAAATCATTTTTATCTTGGTATACGTTCTATTGTTCACATTAGACAATCGAATTTATTTTACTTGAGAAATGTAGAAGATTAAAAGTAGTTTGAGTAAATATAGTGGGGGAAATATAGGTTAGTAGAAGAATAGGCAATTCTCCTCGTCTATCTAATAGAAACAGCACGCATTTACAGTTAGTGTACCACAGCCAACATGGGTGTGATGTATAATCGAAAGATAAAATTACCTCAGAGGTCATCAAATAGAAGTCTAAAGTTGTGAGCAAACCATTTCTCATTGGTTTGATGGGTATCCTAGAACATAAGCCTGCATCAAAATTTAGAATTTCACTCCATACTTCATTTAATTTCTAAGAGATAAGATAGCACAAAATATTAAAAATAAAATCCATACTGATCCAAAAAGGAAATAAAAAATTTCAGATAGAACTTTAATGTTACAAAGTTTTCATGCTTTATTTTTACCTATTTTCTATGTATTAGTTTTGTCTACAAATAACGAACCGAAAAATGGCAACTTATAAATCACCTCGAACCCATCAGGCGCACTTTGTACCAATTGTGATTTGTCAATAAAAGCATCTTGCGGCGAAGCCTCATGATTAAATACTCTGTCTAATGGTAAACAGTTACCAATTTCCCATATGGCTAAAGAACTCGGTAACACAAATGCCATAGCTTACCAGATCTTGCAGGGTAGAGTGATTTTAACCGCTAATCCATGTGTAATAAGATCAAGGATTTACTTAAGATCAAGGAGTTGTCTTGTTGAGTTTCGAATTACAGGAGGTTTTCTGCAATTGTGCTGTAGTATGAGAGAGTTCCTTGCATTTTGGCCTAAATCTTTCATGGATGACAGCAATGTCCAAGAATTTTGTCATACAACCACTTTCTATCATGCACGTTACCAACTGTTGAGCCTAAGAAGACAATAATTTCCTTAAGACACCTTTTCAAATGTTTTGTCTCATCAAATCCTCAATAATACTTCTCCTATCTTCGTACAATATAGTTTATCTTACTGTCAACCTCACAAGAAAAAAATAGGGCTTGACATCTAATTTTATTCAATTTCTTTCAAATAGAATTCAATATACTCTTAAATAAATGCTCTTTCATATGAACAAGAAAATCAATTAACTAGCGCTACAGTTTACAAAAATGGAGACTCAATAAAACCTATTTCATGTAAGAAAAAAATTCACAATCTAGAGGAAAATGAAAAATCCATGTTTGGAATTTTGACCAGTTTTATGTCGGCTGTCAAAGGCCTAACACAAGCCTCCTCCTCTACCCTAGCTTGAGACTGGCTATGAGACCATGAAAAATGATAAATCAACTCAACAAAGGTAACTAGAGTATACCTAAATTTCGGGTTCAAAAATAATCATCAGAAACTTGGAGAGAATGGCCATGCAAACGTAAACACTGATAATCTCCAGAAAAAAAAGAAGACATTCTGACCCTGATGATGGCATTACTTTGATCCTCAAGCTGGAGACACGTGCACCCAGCAGCCAAGGCATAATAGTCGAAGGCCTGTCTAACCACTGGTCTGCAATAGCAAATCAACAGGAACATCTGCATGTGTGCTTTGATGATAAGATTTCTTTAATGACGAAGTACCGGAGGGCAGATTCTGAACAAGAACCTCTTTAACACGAGCAGCTTCACTAGGCATTCCAACCTTCAAAAGACAAGATCTTAAATTATTTACAGTAATTTCATCCGGGGCACAACCCACAACCAACATCTTATCAAAGATACTAATTGCTTCAGGCATTCTCCCTTTCATACAATGCCCAATAATAAGAATGGTATATGTCAACTTATCAGGCTTGCACCTATTCTTCTCCATTTCTGCTACAATTTTATTAGCCTCGTCAACATTGCCGGATTTGCAATACCCGTCAATAACAGGATTATAAATAAATGGTTGTGGAACAATGTCACTCTCATTCAACAGTCCCAAAATGTCACGAGCTTCGTGTAGTCTGTTATTATTGCAAAGACCACTGATAAGTACAGAGTATGTATATAAACTCGCACAAATATTTTTGTCATTCATTTTATGCCACATATTCATTGCTTGATGCGCCTGCCCAACTCGAAAATAACCATTGATTAGAGAAGTGAAAGTAGCAACATCAGGAGGACAACCATGATAATGCATTTTCTCATACATGGCTACTGCAGAAGCCATGTCACCCAACTTCCCAAATCCATCAATAAGAGCATTAAACGTAAACGTATTAGGCAAAGTTCCGGATCTAATCATTTCAGCAAAAACCAAAATCCCCTTCTTCATCATACTCAACTTGCAATAACCCAATACTATCGTAGTGTAGCTAACAACATCAGGGGCAAACTCCCCATTCAAATAAACTTCCGTTAGCAAACTTCTAGCTCTATCCACCTCACTAATCCGACACAAACCATGAATGAGAGTATTATACGTAATTACATCCGGCGAACAACCAAAACTCCTTAAATCCTCAAGAAGCTTAAAAGCCTCGCTAATTTCCCCGACCCTGCACAACCCTCGCATTAAAATATTGACTGTGTAGGTCACCGGTTTATACCGCAACCTAACAAACTCCCTAAACAGAAAAACAGCATCAACTACCTTATTCTGCCTAATCAGGACATTGAACAAGTCATCATACACAACAGCATTGACTCCAACATTACTATTGCACTGCACATCCGCAAGCAATTCCTTCGAAACATCCAACCTACCAATAGCGGCATATGAAGAAACCAAAAACCCTAACAGCCAATTATCAGGAGTCTGCCCGTCACACCTCATCCAATCATACACCACTTTCGCCGCACTGTGAAGATTCGATTGACAGAGTGACCTCAGGAGCAGATTATAAGTCAAATAAGTGTGATTCATGTGCAACTTGTGTCTACTGAATTCGACGAACTTGAAACCCCAATTGTGGTGCAACTTATTCACGACCTCGTAAACGAGCGACGGGGTTAGGTGCTTACTGAAATAGCCCAGGAATGGGTCCAGCGACGAAGAGCGAACGAAAATGGTGCACGCGATCTTGACGAACCAGGCTTCGGCGGCCCTTCTGATCGAACCCATGGGTTCCCAGGCGATAACATCGGTTCTAGTTCGCCGCAAATGCACGCGCTTCGGTCTTTTTCTTCTTTGGGCCCGCGTGGGCCTTGGATTTCTCTATCTACGCCGCCACACTTCTATGTTCCTAATTAGAAATGAAAGTGTGCGTGGCGGAGGGTTGAAAAAATGGCCCAAATAATGCAAGGGCAAGCAGCGGTAGTGCTGCAGAGTTAAAGAAGCAGTTTCTTATGAACGTAACTTATTGTAAATAAGTGCTTTTGAAGAACGAGGTGGGTAATGAAGATTTTGTTGTGTTTTCGATTTCTCTCTGGCTACCTGCTTGAACCTGTGTGTGGGATTTTAGTGGGGGTTCTCTGGCGTATGCGTGACCTATATTGGAGCAACTTGTTTATGGGAGGTTCCATTGAGTTTTGATAAATGGAGAATGGGAATCGCGGTGGCAGGGAAGATAACGTTTCCCGGGGAAGGAAGAAGTAAAAGACTGCGTTTAGCGAATGGAAAAGGGATCCCACGGTTCTTTCCGCTTACACTGCTTAGGGTTTTATTGTATATCACCTCACCTGCGGCACGGTACCCACATCTATGAACTTATGCTATCTATATTTTTATTAAGAGAAATTAAATTGGAGAAAAACAACTGGGAAGCATAAGTAAGAGTGGAAGACAAATAAAAGTAATATATTATTTTGATGTGTAGAAATTTAAAAACTAAAAATATAATATGAATAAAACAGAATAAAAATAATGAAGAGAATATATATATATATATATATATATATATATATAATATTTTATTACGTTTTTAATATATTTTTATAAAAAAAATTAAGAAATTAAAAAAATGGGAAAGAAAGATTTCCCCATATTTCACACTAATTTGGGGGAATTTTTAATTCAATTTTAAATTTTGAAGAAAACTAAGTAAGATGAATATTTAAAGCAATATATTAAATTGAAAAAAAATGTTGGAACCATCTCATTAATCATGGTGCTCTCGTGTCAAAGTATGATGTTAATGATAATGGACAAATTGTTGGTAGGAAGAATGACATGCGATTTAGTTTTCTTTTTCTAAGTCATTTATTGGGTTTGATAAAAAAAGAATAATGATAAAACAAATATCTGAAAATATTAGTAAAGTTATTTATCTTCATTGAAGTTAAAAAATAGGAAAGAATCTTAAGAATATATATTTTAAAATAATACTTAATCTAAATAAATTTATTTATTTTAATAGATCTCTTTATTATTTTTACGTAGTTTTTTTTCATAATTTTATTTATTTTTTCTCTTTTTTCATTTATTTTAGTTTTTCTCTTTTTTATTTTATATCTCTTATTTTTCTCTAATCTCTTATTTATTCTTTTAATTAAACTATTATATTTAATTTTAATAAAATATATTATTTTAATTAAATTATTATATTAAAATTTAATAAAATATATGTTTAAACAAGTATTTTAAAAATAATATTAAAACTAAAAAATATTAATTATTTAAAATTATGATAATTTTGACCGTAAATAATATTTACAATAATGTAAATAATTAATTTAAAATTATTTTAACATAATAAATAATTATTCATCTAATTAAAAATTATCAAATATTTATAAGTTAAATATATTTTTTATTTAATAATTTAATATAATTATAATTAGATTGAGTTATGATAATTAGTTAGATTAAGCAATTTTAAAAAAATATTATTAAAATATTTTAAATAAATACTTAATTTTTTCTTAATAATTATAATATAACAATAATATTTGTAATATCTGAAATCTATCTTATAATTTTTTTCAAATATAATATATTTTATTATAATATTTCTGATCATTTAAATATTTTTATTTTTAAATAATAATAAAAGACTTATGTTATCAAATTTTAATATTCTATTTTTAATTGAAGAATAGATAGAATGTGAGAAAAACAATGAAGAGAAAAGAGAAAAAAAATTGATGAAAAAAAAAGATAAAAATAAACAAAGAAAAAAAGGAAATTAAGTGTATCAGTTTATTTTCCTTTATTAAATTTTGTGTATTAGTAGTAAATAAGTTTATGAAAATAAATATTAAAAGGATTTTTTTGTTAATAGAGGAATGGTCCATTAATTGATATTGTAGTTCTTTGGAGAATTACGCTTATGCTTTCCAACTGTGAGAATGCCCCTACTTTATATTGAATCCTAAATCTGAAATAAAATTATAAGAAAAGAAAAAGAGAACAGTAAACAATAAAGATGATTTAGTAAAATTGTTCAACTCAAAAAGTTCTTTATCACTTTTTTGTGTTTACTTTGGCAAATTGAAATCAATGTGAAAAAGAAAAAAAAAAATGTCATCGGTTTTAAAAGGGAGGGGACTGATTTTAGTTCATGTATTTTTGTTTTCGTTCAAGGAGATTTTATTATGCTATTTTTCTTATTGTCTTATTAGCTTTTGTAAAATCTACATTTGTGCATACTAAACTTATTATGTTACTTTAAACATACTTTTATTTGCATATAGTTTCCAAACATATTATTTTTTAAAATGTAAAGAAACAGACTCTCACATGAATGAAGAAGGTCTTTGTTGTACTTTGAAAAGACAAAAAATAAAAAAAAATCCTTTTGCGGACTAAAGGCAAACCAAATATTTAGTAAAACAAGATTAATGAAAAGCATAAAAGAAAAATCGTCTGCAAACCAAGAACGGCAAGAAATGCAAGTGTTCGGGTGCACTCAAAGAGTCTAATTTTGTGAAAGCACCTCCTACCTCTCAACTCAACATCCTTTATCTCCAATGACTGAGACTTGTTCTCATACGGACTTACTATTGATCAAAGTTTCTTGATGACCAACTAGAACGATGGCAAAGGGAGTAATGAGATAGTAACTTGTTCAGATTCAAGTTCTTTATGTGTAAGTTTTAAATGTTACGTTGAACACTCTACTTATGCGTGTTTCGTTATCTTTGCAAGACTGGATCCGACAAACGAGGAATGTTGGAAGCGAACAAAATCTTGCTGACTGGTCATTTTGTGCTGCGAAGGATTTTAGTAGAAAATCCTTCGTATACTTGGAAATAGGGAATGGACTTCTCATTAGAAGGTGTAAAACAGGGACTGATTTTGCGTCAGCTGTTGTGGTATCTTTCTTTTTTCTCCATGGATTTGATAAAATATTTAATTGATTCTTACAGTGTACATGTCTAGCGTATCTTATAGTACAAACATGATTCTATGACTTACGTGTATGATTATGCAACATATAATTCGGCCTTTCCATCGATGAACAGGCTCATGAACTCTTCACCATCAACAGTTTCTTTTTCTATGAGAAGTTGAGCAAGCTTGTGAAGTATGTCAATGTGAGTATTGATAATATTTGTTGCCCTAGAATATGCTCTCTCTACCAGTTCCCTTACTTCCGCATCCACTACATCGGCAGTTGCCATGGAGTAATCTTTTTGCGTTGACATCTGCATTGCAATCATTCGAAAAGGTGAGGCATATATTGTTGTTGTTCAAGAATCAAGAACACAGTAAAAAGGTCAAAGACATCAAAGTATTTTAGGTCACGGAATACCTGCTGACCCAAGAATGGATTTCCACCAGGTCCACCAATGGCAACTTGTCCAATTTTTTTGCTGAACCCAAATCTCTCAACCATCTGTCTTGCCACTCGTGAAACCTGCATGAAGTCATTTGATGCTCCAGTCGTGACATTTTCCCGTCCAAAAATAACCTCTTCAGCGACCCTGTTTGGCCATTGATATGAAATTTGTCAGATAAAATTCAAAGCTGAAAGCTCTGCATCTCACATCCACAAGCGTCCACTAAAAATATACAAAAGGAGCCAATAAAAAAAGGAAGTTCATATACAGATCACTCAGAAGTAAGATTAAGCCAATTAACTTCATGTGGAGTAGCTGCCATATAAGACTGACTAGCAAACATAAAAATCCAAAATCAAACAAAGTAATTGAGCATGTTTCCGTGAATTGAAAAGTACACTGACCTTCCACCCAGAGCAACAGCCATCTGATTTTCCAAGTAGCTTCTACTGTACAATCCAGACTCAAGCCTCTCTTCGCTGGGAGCAAAGAATGTGAGACCACCAGCTTGGCCACGAGGAATAATTGATATCTTGGCTACGGGGTCATATTCAGGCATTAAAGCGCCTACTAAAGCATGGCCAGCCTCTGAAAATCAACGTGGAAAAATAGGTTGAATTCCCAAAAACAAACCAATACCTGCCAAACTTAGTATTTAACATACAAAAAATACACACCGTGGTATGCTACCAATTTCTTCTTCTCATCTGAGACCACAGCATTTTTCTTTTCGGGTCCGGCTATGATCCTTTCAAGCGCATCAGATATCTCATCTTTACTTATTTCCTTGAGGTCACGCCTAGCTGCAAGAATAGCCGCCTCATTCATCAGATTCTGCAGATCAGCCCCAGTGAATCCGGGGGTTCTCCTTGCAATTTTTTCAAAGTCAACATCCTTTGCAAGTGCCTTTCCTCTTGAATGCACCTGTCAGAGAAAAAGTGTTGATTAATCCAGAAGTACTGATACAGAAATGTACTGAACAAATTCGATTGATAACGCAGCACACAAAGCTTGACCTACCAAAAACTCCAAAATCCATCAATCAAATAAAAACTACACAAAAATTATATGCTGAGGTGCTCTTGGGTTTTCTACTCCATTCAAAATCAAAATCTTACATTAATAGTATTCATATAAAAAATGTTCGCATCACACTTTAATAATATAATTAGCAAAGACTTGTTGAAAATCAGCAATTTCCTCTACTCATAATTTGTATTTTCCAAAAGCTTTAAAACAATGGTAGACGCTCTTGAAAGCTGTGAACGTGATGCTAGCACTCCTCTCGACTAAAAATAAGTTGGCTAAGTTATCAAAGTGAGACTCTAATCCTATTTAGAGAAACACCTACACATTTTTTAGCTCACTATGATGAACAAATTCTCTACTATTATTAACTGATAATAATGTGTAAGGAAGTGTGTAAAATAACGCATTGCTATTAGTCATCTTCTAATTAAATAACAACATAAAAAACATTAATGAACTAACATAATTAAACAACAATATTCCAGAAAGGGTTTATGGCTGAGCCTGACTCACCTGAAGGATCTTAACTCGGCCAGCAACATCAGGTCTATCTACAGTAACTTGCCTATCAAACCGGCCAGGCCTCAACAATGCAGAATCAAGAACATCAGGTCTGTTCGTCGCAGCCAAAACAATAACTCCAGAGTTACCAGAAAACCCATCCATTTCCGTCAGAAGCTGGTTAATAGTCTGTTCCCTCTCATCGTTGCCCCCTCCAAGCCCCGCCCCTCTCTGCCTCCCCACGGCGTCAATCTCATCAATGAAAACAATGCACGGCGCCTTATTCTTCGCCTTCTCAAATAAATCCCTCACCCTCGACGCACCAACCCCCACAAACAGCTCCACGAATTCCGAAGCCGCGCACGAGAAAAACGGCACTCCAGCTTCTCCCGCCACAGCCCTAGCTAGAAGCGTCTTCCCGGTTCCGGGTGGCCCCACCAGAAGACAACCCTTCGGAATCTTCGCACCCAGCGCAGTATACTTATCAGGGTTCTTCAAAAAATCAACAACCTCTTGCAGTTCAAGCTTGGCTTGGTCCGCGCCCGCCACGTCAGCGAAGGTAACCCCCGTTTCGGGGACTTCTTGGAATTTGGATTTATTCCGCCCGAAGTCCATGGGGCCGCCTAACCCACCGGGTCCACCGGGCCCGCCTTGGGCTCTGCGGAAGAGGAAGAACAAGCCGGCGAATGCTAGAAAGGGGAAGAGCAAGTTGCCTATGATGTTGAACAAGCCGTTAGCTGATTCGGTTTCGGCGACGGAAATGTCGACGCCGTTCATGGCGAGGATGTCGATAAGGTCAGGGTCATTGGGGACGATAACGGAGGCTCGACGGCCGTCAACGGCGGTTAGTTGGAGTGCGGAACCATCTTTGCTGAACCTGACTCGCTCGACTTTACCCTTCTTAACGGCGTTCAAGAACTCGCTGTAGCGCCAATTGGTGCCTTCGGGGAGGTCCGAAGAGGCTTGGGGTTTGGGTGCTGTGAGAAGGTTCTGAGAGAAAAGTGCGGAGTTTGAGTTGGAGGGGTTTAATTGGCTCTGTTGCGCTTCGATTACGGGGGGCGGGGTGACGTTATCAGCGGCTAGGGCGTGTGGGGTCGCAGAGAGAGTGGCGGAAGAAAATATAAGGGCCGCTAGAGCAGCTTGTGAAGATGCAGAATTCAGTTTCTCCGAGTCGGGTTTTTGAGCGTTGAAGATGATTCTCTTGAAAAGAAACGGCAACGGAGTGGCAGTTTTGGTTGTTTTGGGGGTTGGTGGCGATACTAGAACCTTCCTTCCGAGAAAGTTTGAAGAGAGCAATGCGCTGGTGGCAAAGGCCATCGTAACTGGGGCTGATTCAGTGGCTGATGCGAATACGTTTGATCTCTTTCTTTTTTACTCTATCTTCGATGTTGCTCTAGATTTTGGATTTAGAAAGTGTGTGTGGCTATCTATGCCACGGAGGGACGAAAAAGTGGCCCAAATATGCCCCGGGGGATTCACTGCTGCACACTTAAAATTAACCAGATTGTTTCGTATAAGTGTGGTTTATATGTTGGAGGAATCAAGTGGGAAATGGAGATTATAGGACTTGGCTTTGGCTTTGGCTACCTGCTTCCATCTTTGCCATAGATTTTTGGTGGTGTTTTCTCTCATACGTGGCCTCATCTATATCCATTTATTTATCGACAGCACTGTTTTTAATAAACCCAAAAATAAAATAATAAGTGTGGTTTGGTTTTTTAATGGACTATAGCTGACTCAACTTCATCTTCGCTTATTTTGTATCTGGGCCTAATCTATTTGGATTGAGTGGGTAATATCCATGTAAAAAGATAAACCATTTTTGTTGCTTCCACTAACTGTTAGATTCACAACTTGGGACAAGAGAGGGGAGTGAATCTTTGAGAAAAAGGAGGAGGGTTATACTTGGTAGAAAGAATTAAGGATAATTTGAAAAAACAAAAAACGTAAAAAGGGAGTGCATAAACGAAGAGGAAATGTAAATAGCAACTCCTTGGATTTTGTGCTTCCCTTAGTGTTTGGGCCTTTATATGGACTCTTTGTAATGTGTTTGTATTGTATCCTGTACAAAACTTGGCACATTCTTATGTACTCTCATTTTTTTTTTCTTTTTTCTTTTTTTTTCACGATCATATTTATCTAAAAAGTTAATATTATTTTTAATGTAAATAAGTTTTGGATTTTTTAAAATTTTTTTTTAGAATGAACGCAGAAGTTTTTAAAAATATTTCGAAATATTTTTAAAAATCTTATTTTAAAACGTTTTTAAAATGTTAATCCAAAAAGATTTCTGAAAAAATTATTCTAAAAAATTTTGGGAAGAGTAAATCTGGAATTTATATCATACATGTTAAAAATCATTTCCAAATTTATTTTTTCATAATCTTTTCGGAATAATCTTTTTCAAAATGGTAAAATTATATTTTAAATTTCATAATAACAAATTTAAAAACAATATTTATTTTTAAATTTTTTATCTAAATTTAAAAAAATATTCGGATGCTTCATAATCACTATTTCCATAAAATTAAACAATATCTTATTATTTTTTAAAATATATGTGGGGTATAAAAAAACAAAATATAGGTACATGAAAAATGTGCCAAAAACTTTAATATCTCCTATTCATTTCTTCAAATCACATTTAATGAAAAATATAATCACCTCAATCTTATTAATATTTTATATACCGTAATGTTTGTTTTTAAATTAACATTAAAATCTTTTTTTTTTTAAATCGCGTTCTCTTTTCTCTAATTGCATTTGATATTAAGTTTTAAGGAGTATATGTATTTTAATTTCAATATATATATATATATATATATATATATATATATATAATTTGAAATGATGTTAAAATTTTGTTGTAAAAATTTTATTTATTAAATGTGTTTAGTTTTTTTATAAAATTCTTCTATTTTGTTATTATTATGAAATTAATGACATTTTCAGTTAAATATTTTATTTGTGTTTTTCCGTTAACTTATGCATAATTTTTTTTATCAGGAATTTATATAAAATGCACATCACAACTCAATAAAATATAATTAGATAATCAAATTAGTCTTATTACTAGTGCATGGGTTTTTACCCAATTTCCGTTGAACCAAAGATTAACCTATTTACAAAAATGCGATGATATTTTTATAAATAATAAATATTACTTTTACGTCGGACATCTTAGATATCGACTGTTAATGAAAAATTGAGAAATAAATCGAAAAGTGGACCGAAGAATTCAATGGTCAATTTGGGGTAAAAGATTGACAAAAAAGTGAGTATTGAAAACAAAAGCCAGTTCGAGGAAAAAGATTGAGGAAAAGAGTTCAGAGGCACCATGAATGTTCAAATATTCAATTTTTTTTAGATCGAGATTGAAGGGATTAGTTATCTCTACACATGAAAATACTGGGTAACAGTTTTTAACTATTTTGAGTGGTTATGTAAGGGTAGGTTATAAATAGAATTAAGTATTGAGAGTACGGGGTGGAGGATAAAAAATTTCTGGTATGAGTCTACTGACGAACAACGATAATCATGAAATTTCTAGCTTTGGGTTTCTGCTTTTATTGATCTTTATTATTGTTTTCTTTACTTATTCTCGTACAATTTAAGTTTGTGTACTACTTTTTCAGTTCTTCGTCTATTTAACTTCCTGTATTCCTTTACAATTTAATCAAGTTCACACAGTCATTTTCTATCTATTTTACTTATCTAATTTTCTATATATTCTCATTTCTATTAGTTTACGTTGTCTTTCATTTTCGATCATTTGCATTTTTAATTTCACGGTTATCTATTTAAACATTCTAAAATCTTTAAAAATTTATCTTTTAATTTTAATGAATATAATTTATTTATCCATTGTTATTGAGCAACATTTCTTTCAATTAGATATAGTAGTTTATTTGAGCAATGTTGATATTTGTATGTTCTTAAATTCATTATCGGTGTTTCGTACTTAAATTTATCATCTTTTATATTTTTGATTGAAAACTTAGTTTGCTAGCCTAAATAAAAAGAATTCACGATAGTTGAAAATTGGTTAAAATATAAAATATTTGGAAATCGAAATTACCAAATTTCACAGTAACACCGATGTAAAAATTGATTTTTTACGTCTAGTGGCTCTTTAACCGTCAATGATGTTCGATGTAAAAGTCGCATTTTAATCGCTCTAAGACTTCTTTTTCCTTTGGTGCATGAAGGTTTTTGAGTGACGATAACAACAACGATCAAAACAGTTTCTCTCAAACTACATTTCGACCACAATAAGTGATGAAAATACGTACATTATATCCCATTTGTGGTGATTAACATTTTTCTCGTATTAAATTTGAGTTTTAGAACTTTTTTGTATATTTAAGATTAATATTATATGTGTTTCCTCTTTTATGTTGAAATTGAATCGGTGATAGCTTTTAAAAATTTCAATCATGTTATTGCATGAATGTGTCTACTGGATTGTTATTGAAATTGGACTGTTATAGTTTGTAATTATTCATTTATACGTTTAATTGAATTTACGATTTATACACTGTATTTTTTATGTTTGTCCGGTTTAGTTGTTTGAATCTCACATTTTTTATTTTTTGTATATTAATTATATAATAGTAATTAGTAAGTAAGAAAAAAAATTATATGGTATGATGTGAAAAGAAAATATTACATTATATAAGGTTAACAGTTTTTTGATGATGAAAAAAAAAAACAAAAATCTTTTTAAAAATGTGAGTTTTGACTCCGATATCAAATTTGAACACACAACATATAAAAATGAAGAAAAAGACCAATAATTTTTGTAAATTATACTCCTATATTGATAAAAGTAGTGAAATATATTATATTATTATAATATTTATATACTCTTGTATTTAAATTTTAAAAATAATGTTTTGTTTCTTAATTTAGTGTAATAAGTAAACAAACTCTCCTTTGAATTTGGTTACTATATCCTGTATTTGATGTGAGCTATAATTTGTGTGGGTATAACTAATTTTTAGATGAAGGTAATTATTTTAAACATTTGTTAAATTAATTTACCTTTATGCGGTACATTGTATGTTAACAGAAGTTAAATTAATTTTTTAAATATTTTAAGATCCATCAATCTCTATTATCAGAACATGATAAATAATATTTTCAATATTTCTAATACTTAATCTATAGGTTATTGTTTATACTATATTATATTATATGGTTTAATATTTAGGTAACTTAATTTTTTATTAATTTAGACTTTGTATTAATTTTTAAAAATTTTCATTATTATTATATTTTTTAATTATTATCTATTAAAAATATAAAATTTGAATTGCTTGTATTATATTTTCAATCCCGACTCCGATCACGTCTCGCCACGACTTTATATTTAAATTCAAATTTTAAAATATTAATATTCTAAAAGTATTTTCTTTTCTTTTTCTATTACATATAAGGTCATTTTTTTTATATTTCACCCAATTTTTTTCTTCTACCTACTTTTTAATTTTTTTGTCTTTTTTAATCTTTTATATCAATTAATTTATTACATTATTCTTTCTCTTACCTTTTAGTTTTTCACATTTCTTTAATCTCTTTCATCAATTTTTTTTTCAATATTTTTAACCAATTTGATGAACAAAAAGTTAATTTTTTTTATTATTTATCTTTTTCTAAATATTTTACATAAATTTTAGTAGTAACTAATATTATTTTATTTATAATTTATATTTATTAGGTTTTATTATATCATATTTTATTAATTTTATTATTCTTATTTATCATATATCAAATTTTATCTTAATAAAATAATTGTATTTTAAAGGATTAAAGAAATTGATAATTTATACTTTTATTACTTCGAACTAATTGAATAAGAATTAATTTATTAAATATTTCCTTATAAACTATATATTTCATATTTTTAAATGACAACTTAAAAATAAATTAACTTATATATAATCAAATATTTGAACACAGTATTATAATAATAATGTTATAAATAAAAAATAATTAAATATTTCTTTTATATACATATTTTAATATAAATATAATAAATTAAAATGTATATTTAATTAATAATAATTATAAATTAAAAAATTATAAATATTTATTTATATATAAAAAATATATAGTAAAATTAATTTATTATAAATGTAATTATCTTTTTAAAAATAATATAAATTAGAGACGAGAAAGATGACAAGGAATCCGAAACCCAGTAAAAGCGAAAATGAAAATTTAATTTCTATCCCGACAAAAATAGAAGATGGAAACAAAAATGATTAAAAAAATAAAAAACGAGAATCTAATAGATAAAACCCGACCAGCCTACC